GCTCCGGAGGGAGCCGCCCGCCCGAAGAGGGGGCGTTGCAGGGCGTGAAGCAAGGGGGCGGCGACCCACCGGGCGCCTGAGTCCCGGTCCGGGAAAGAGGACGGAGAAGCCAATTTCGAGCCCTCCACGCCCTGGTCCTGGGCGGGTACCCGGCCGAAGGGGGAGGAGTGGGGGAAAATCCCGCGGAAGGGGCCTCCTGCTGTCCCGGAGGAGCCTCGAGGGTCCCCGGGTGCGGAGCGGACCTGTGTGCGAGAGAGGGAAACTACCGGGTGTTTAGATCCCTGTTTCTCGGGACTGTCATGTGGCTCGAATGAGAGAATGTACAGCAAAACTCTTTGTGAATTGTAGAACGCTAAGCACATTTGAGACGCTACTGCCAGTTTGTGTCTCTGTCCCCTGAGCTTAAGTATTTATATGTTTTTTCTTACAGCTACTTGTATATCTGTGTCTCTCTCTAGGTTTGTATCTGAGCCCCTATTTTAAAAAATCATTGACTTGTCAGGCCGCGCCGGAGGCCCAGAGCGCCTCCGCAGCCCGCAGCCGGAGCTGCTGAGATGTCTGTTCTTCCCGCCTACTCCCACCACCCCCAACTCCCCTCCTACTCCCTTCCGTTGAGAACAAGGAATTTCCAGCCTTTAGCAGAGGGAGAGGCAAAGACAAAGAGAGACTGAGCCCATGGGAAACTATAGAAAAACATGAAGATGAGAGACAGGTGGGGGGGGGTGACAGAAAGGGAGCAGGGACCAATACGTTTTTTTTTCTGCATGGGCACCATTCTCTCTTGTGTCCCCTTTACTTGCTCAGGACCACTTCCCTGCTTCACTCACCTGCTTCTCCTTCCCTTCCCCCCGTTTCCCCCTTATTCCTCCCCCCCAAGTCTGAGAGGCAGAAGTGGAAGAAAATCCCGCGGAAGGAGCCTGCCTACTTCCCCTGGGGAGCCAGGAGGGTCCAGGTCCGCCCCCCTTCCCCCTCAGTGTTCTCAGCCACACACGGAGCAAAACAACTGGTCTTATTTAATAATCAAGGATTAATATTCCCTTTATTATCTACACCGGTCTCTTCCAGGAAGAAAAACAGTATCCTCAGTCCTAGTTTTCCAAGAAAAGGAGAAAAGATTGCGAAGGAAGGGGGGAAGTGGGTGGAAGAGGAGTGCCGTTCCTAGGACTGCCGTTCCTAGGCTTCCCAGGCACGTGTAGATTTTCATCTAGCAGATTGCTCTGCTCACTCCTCCCTACCACGTTTTCACCGGGCCAAATCCGACTCACTCAACAAGGTT